TTTAAAGGATAATATTTTCATAAGGACAAAAATATAATTAAGCTTACAATTAATTAAAGTAAATCTTTATTTAATAAAATAATAATCTTTCTGTTGTCAAAATGAACATATCATTTAAACAATTTTTTTTTCTGTCAGTCAATTAATGCAAAGTACGAAGGTGAATTCATAAATTTAGGCTAACAAGAAGTTCATTAATCCATCAAATCTAAGACTTGTTTTATTTTTACCTTTTTTTTTTGTTTTATTTTTATATGATGTGTAACATATTGATTTTGTTGTACTTAATTACTTTATTTTATGAAAAATTTTATTTATGCGTTTGATTAATATTTAAATAATATAAAAAAGTATTCAAGTGCCAAAAGTAAATTAAAAAAAATCATAGAATTAATTAAAAAAAAGAAAATTATGTCAAAACTTAAATTTTATTAATCTAAATTGACTTTATTTGAACCAAAAAAACTTTTAGAAAAATGACAATAAAAAAATATTAAATTTGTAACTACTATTATTTATAAAAATTATATTAAAAAATAAAAATAATGATAATAAATTGAATATAATTTATAAAAGCTATCAACTTTTATTTAAAAATTTAAAAAATAATGAGAACGGATATGATAAATAATAAAAAAAAAACAGGATACACATGAAAAAGATAAAGTTTATAAATGCTTAATTGTATATAACATATAAATTAATAAGTAAAATAATATTTTTAATTTTATTATATTAAACCAACAAATATATTTAAAATTATCTACAATAATATAACATCAAAAAATATATTAACTGATGATAAATTAAAATGTAAATATTATATATAATTTAATTTTAACTTCTAATTTTATTTGTTCATCTATGTAAATATTTATCATTTATCATATTTTAAATATATATTGATAAGTTTATATTTATGATGTTTTTATAATTTGTTTTCACATACTTAACCTTTATTTGATAAGAATGTTGGATTAATTTTTTATTAATTATTGCATTTTAATATAAATTGATTATTAAATTGGGGAAACATTTTGTTTGCAATCAATGAGTCAAAGAAAATTAATAAAAAAGTTGCAATAAACAGGCCACACTTAACATCCAATAGAGTCATACTTAGCAACAAGGACACTATGTTTAGCAGTAAGTGAAAGTTGATGGAGAGCAACATGGAGAGAGAAGAGATAGAGTTCAGATCAGAAGTTGCAGCTTCATGCTTTACTTTAGGCTACTTTCCTTATTCTTGCTCTAATGCTAATGGTGCCCCAGGCCCCAAAATTCAGAGATATGCTCATTGAGACCAAATCTTCAACAGACCTTAATATGCAACCAACCTAATTTCAGATCAAATCAAATCTGTGAAAATAATTTAACTTTTTTCTCTGTTTTTTTTTACTACTCATTGATCCAAACACTTCACTTTTTAGGAAAATGTTCATACTCCAACAAAGGTAAGTGAAGTGAAAATAGAAAGAAAAACACCCAGCAAAAGCTAAAAGCTAAAGATCCTAAAATTTGAAATTCTACTACATCATGGGAAATAGAAAAACTAAGATCTACGAGCATAAGGGCATAAAAAATAGATCTTGTCCCAAAAAGAAATTAGATATCAAAATCCTTCATAATGCTGTGCTTCATAGTGGAAGATGCTGTTCCATGCCCAACCAATAAAGGAAGAAGAAGAAAACCATAGTAAGAAAGAAAAAAATAAAATAAAAAATGAGAAACACGAAAAAAAAATAGAAACTTTTTTATAATATTAAACAGTAAAATTTTTAGACCATCACACTAATAAAATTGATAAATTCTAAATTTTTAAATTTTATTTTCACAATTTTTAATATTAATTTTTAATTATTATTTTTATGTTTATATTTTGATAAGTAATTAAAATTAAATTTTTATTATTAATTTATATGTATGATAGTTTTGTAAACTAATTTATTTTTTATAACAATAAAAAATTAAAAATAATATACTTTTATTTGCATTTATTAGTGTATACTTTTTAATATATTTATATTAAAATCATCTATAGTGTATTTTTTTTATAAAATTTATGACAATAATAGAAAAACAGTTTTTGTAAATTTCAATAACATACATATATTTTTTATTTATATTTAACTTAATATACATGTTTCTTGTAATCAAATAATTTGGAAATTTATACGATACACTGCAATGCACAAATATAATTATAAATTATTTAATTTATTTTTAAAATTTATCATAATAAATTTTTAATAAATTACTAAATAATATTTTGAAATAAAATTGTTTATACTCTTTAATTTAAATTTATTTATTTACAAAACTATAAAATAATATACTATAAATTTTCTTTAAAATGATTTTTATATTTTAAAATTTAGAATTTTTAACAATTATTTTAAAACAAAATAATTTTATAAAAAAAGAACAAGAAAGAATATGTTTACTAGTTGGATATTGCCTAATGTATACGGTGGTAGGTATTTCGGGTGGTCCACTTTAAAATAAAAAAACAAATCTATGTTCAGAAATTTTTGGGTGTGGGTCAGATTTTAATATCATAACTGTTGAGAAATTTATTTTCCACCTTAATTTATTATTTGTGTCTGAATCTGGGAAAAGGGCAAGCGGTGCACCATTACAAAAGATCCAAAAATAAAAGAGATAATTTTTTAATATATAATTTATTTAGATGTTTATTTAATAATTTTTAAATAGTAATTTATATCATAACTTTACTGCTAACAAATATTAAAATAAATAAAAAATAAAGTGAATCTCTCACTCTGTCCATATTTCAGTGGATGTTTGTATTTGAACGTTAAAAGTAAAATATAATTTATTACCAACAAAAAAAAATTAATTCGAAAAAATTAAGTTGAAAAATGTAATTTTGTCTGAAAAATTATACTAACTCCGTTGTATACCGCAACCGAATAAAGGCATAGTGTCATTGCTGTGTAGATCAATTTTATTCTATTCTATTTAACTTATATCCTATTCTATTTTATATTTAAAACAAAATAATATAAAATACTAAAGATTATATATTATCTCTATTTTCATTTATTTGTTAAAAAATTTATAATACTAAAGATTTAAGTACTTTGTTCAAATTAATTATCAAATTTTTTAATTTATCTCTTGTCAATAATTTTTTTCAACCATTGAACTATTTAAATAGTATAACTATGTTAATTTCATCCTTCGAATAAATTTAAATATATAAAGATATTTTTTTATACAACAAATATATTCTTTTGTATAAAAATTTTATTTTAAATTTTTTATTCTTGACTGAAATTAATATATTTTTACAATTTGCAGAAAAATTAAATAAGAGTATTTTCTTTTCCATCTCAATCATTATTACGTTACTCCCATTTTATCGCCTTATAACCACTTCACTCACCAGTTTATGCTCAATCAGCATTTGCTTCAATAGATGCAGGCTTGCGAAGGTAGGGATATTTGTACTGTAGAGAAATTTTGGAGGTTGTCAGACATAGCTGGATATCACTTTTATATGTTAATTACATTTTTTAAATAAAACATAAAAACAGTATCACATGATTAGTATTATCATTCAATCAAAACGAAACTTCAATTTTGATTTCTATTATTTTTATTTTAACAACTTAGAAACAATAATTATAGAAAAAAATGTTGATCGAAAATATGAATGATATAGAATACATAAGCATTATCCAGAGATATAAGGTGTAATGATGGTAAAAGTAAATTGCATGTGAAGTGATGTTGATCTGAAACCATCTAAATTTCTATTGGAGTAGCATTGTTTAATTATCTTTTGTGCAGCACAAGACTTGCTTTCTCATAAAGACTGTGGCACCGTTTAGTAGCACCACTCAGGATGAAACGGATGGCTATAGGCACAAAATCCGGAGGTGAGGCTGAGAAACAAGCGGCACGAGGTTTTGTTTTATTGATGCATTCATTCTTCTTCTACCCAAAACTGCCTTTCTCTCTTTCTATAAACCCACCAACTTCTCTCTCTCTCTCTCTTAGTTAATGGTTCGTTTTTCCTAGTGGGAAACCTTCCAAAAAGACCAAAACCCATTTGAACTTATCTAAGAAAGAGAAAATTTTAAAATAGCAAAAAAATAAAAAAGTTTGGACAAATAAAATGTAACTTCCCAGAACAAACCAGAACTCACACATGGGTGGTTTCCTACGCTTAGGTTTCAGTCAATTTAAGCATGTGGGTGGCTCTGAAATTGGCATGTTCATTTTAAGGCCTTGATTGGCTTTCTGGGTTTGGAGAACCATCTTGCTTCGCTCTCTTGGCTGCTGTGTAACATTCATCAGTTCATATCCCCCCGCATAGTATTTTCTCATATCCAAAATAATAGATCAAGTTTAGTACTTTTCTTCCTTTTATATTCTTTCTCTTTTGTAAATTTAGTAATTGTGTTCTCCCTACTAGATCCTTGTGTGTTGTATGATTACTGCTGTTGTTGTATACGATTGTTAAGTTAGAGCGATAATGACACAATTGAAAATAAAAAAATAAACCACTCTCATCTTTTGGAACAGTGCGAAGTCGCTTTCTTTTAAGGTAAGAGAGAGGGCTTTATTATATTGTTTACCATATCCAACTTGTTGATCCTCTCTTGTGGGTATAGAACCAGATGTTTTATGTTGCATCCCTTCATAGGATTTGAGATACCCTTATCCCTTTGCTTCCTTAATTAGATACAAACACACAATAGCAGATCTTTTCCCTTTTGCACTTGTGAAGTACATTAAAAATAAAATAAAAATCATTTCTACCTTTCTCTCACTTGTACCTCTATCTGTACGTCTTTATCTACTTTCTCTCACCTCTTTCTTTCTCCAAACATCCCATACCTGCACCATATCTGAAGCCAACAGAATTCATAAAAGGGTTTTCAAAGTTTCAACCTTGAAGGGTGGTTTTTCTCATTTTTGCTTTCAGTTTCTTTTTTTTCCTCCCTTTGAAAGATCTTTAATTTGATAAGATGGAGTGTGAAGTTGAACTGCAAGGGGGAGATCTACATGCAGGGGTGGTAACTGAAACAAACCATGTTGGTTTTGGCACCATGGAAGATGCAGAGACTTTAGCAGTTGCAGAGAGAGATATATGGCTAAACAGTGACCAAGATGAATTCCTAGGTGTCAATGATGCCTCCATGTTCTACGCTGACTTCCCTCCTTTACCTGATTTCCCTTGCATGTCGTCGTCATCATCATCTTCTTCAGCTCCAGCACTTCCTGTGAAGACCATGACATGTTCCACCACCACCACCACCACCACATCTTCTTCCTCCTCCGCTTCGTCCTCCTCGGCGGCTTCGTGGGCGGTTTTGAAGTCAGAGGCCGAGGAAGAAGCGGAGAAGAAGAGTTTTAATTACATGCAGCATCAGCATGATCAACTTGATGCAACTACCCCCGTCGCTTTGTCTTCTACTGCATCCATGGAGATTTCTCAACAGCACCACCCTGATCCTGGTCTTGGTGGCACTGTAGGAGAGTGCATGGATGATGTTATGGACACATTTGGGTACATGGAGCTCTTAGAAGCCAATGATTTCTTTGACCCTGCGTGTATTTTTCAGAATGAAGAGAACCCTTTGGTAGAATTTGCAACACTGCAGGAACATGTGCCAATGCAAGAGGAACAGCATGCAATGGTGCATCAGCATGGGGTGATAGAGGAAGAACAAGATCATGAAGTTCCTGTGTGTGAAGAGATCCATGAAGAGGAAGAAGGAGGTGGTGATGATGGTGGTGGTGGTGATGATGGTGGTGGTGGGGATGATGAAATGAGCACGGTGTTCTTGGAGTGGCTCAAGTCTAATAAAGATAGTGTTTCTGCAACTGACTTGAGGAGTGTGAAGCTCAAGAAGGCAACAATTGAAAGTGCGGCAAGGCGTTTGGGTGGAGGAAAAGAAGCTATGAAGCAGTTGCTGAAGTTGATTCTTGAATGGGTTCAAACCAGCCATCTGCAAAATAAAAGGCGCAAGGAGAATAATAGCATTGACAATGCATTGCCATCAAGTCTCCACTCACAGTTTCAGGATCCTAGTAGTCAGAACCAAAACACAAACACTGGTTCCAACATGAACCAAAACCCAAGTTCATTTGCACCTGAATCAAACGCTTGTTTCAATAATCAGACACCTTGGCTGTCTCCACAACCTTTTGGGACAGACCAAGCTCATCTCATGGTGCCTCCACCGCCATATCCACAACCCATGGTTGGGTATGTGGGTGACCCTTACTCAAATTGTGGGGGTGCTGCTTCAAATAACATCACTGGTACTCATAACCGCAACCCTTACCATCCTGGTACAGATCAGTATCACATGTTGGAAACAGCACATTCATGGCCTCATTCTCAGTTCAATGTTGGTTCTCACTATAGCCAATCATTTGGGGACAATAATCTTTTCCAACATGGTGCTTTTGGCGGCTATGGAAATAATCAGTACCCTTATCAGTTTTTTCATGGCCCTGGTGATAGGTTGATGAGATTAGGTCCTTCAGCTACCAAAGAAGCAAGGAAGAAGAGGATGGCAAGGCAGAGAAGGTTTTTGACTCATCAAAGGCATCATAATAATCACCCTCAGAATCATGGTCCTGACCCACATGTAAGATTGGGAAGTGATAATTGCACCACTGTTGTAGCTACGCCTCATGCAAATCCTGCAGCCAATTGGATGTACTGGCAAGCTATGGCTGGTGGTGGAGCGTCTTCGATGGCGCCCGCGGTTCCTGTTGAGCCACCGGCTGGGCAACAGGTGGTGGACCGGCAGGCCCTGCAGACACAGAATTGTCATCCGGGTCGAATCGCATCGGACAGGAGACAGGTTGGTGGAGCTTAATTTGATCAAATTGATCTTAGATAGTGAGTTTTGGTTCATGTATATAGATATGAGTTACTATTATGTGTGATCATTAGAATGTATATACAGCAGTTGATTATGTTTGATGTATAGTTATTGTTTTCTTTGAATTTATGAACATATATTATCCTTTGTTGAGCATGATTATAATGGATGGCTTGTTCTGTGGTCATGTGTTTCATTTATAGGGTTGGAAGCCTGAGAAGAACTTGAGGTTTCTTCTGCAAAAGGTGTTGAAGCAAAGTGATGTGGGAAGTTTGGGGAGAATCGTGTTGCCAAAAGTAATCCTTTATCTTTAAATATATATATATATATATATATATATATATATATATATATATATGTTATTGTTAACTACTTGCTATTAGATTAGTATGTAATTTTCTAAAACGAAATACATACACATCTCATTTGTAGCAGTTAATTTGATTAATAATTTTAATTAAAATAATTGGTCAGAAAGAGGCAGAAACCCATTTGCCAGAACTGGAGGCAAGAGATGGAATTTCAATAACAATGGAAGACATTGGAACTTCTCGTGTTTGGAATATGCGCTATAGGTATTGGAAATTTCATTTTCTCATTTTTGGCCTTTTGTTTTCAACTTAATCACGTTGAGACTAAAATATTCTCTTTTGCACTATTTCTTCTTGGAGCATCAGATACTGGCCAAACAACAAAAGTAGAATGTATTTGCTTGAGAACACTGGTGAGCTTTTTTTGCTTTATTGAACTTGGTTAACTTGTTATACTTTCTTTTTTTAATGAACTCACTAGTATTTCATATATTTTATAGGAGACTTTGTTAGAGCCAACGGACTCCAAGAGGGTGATTTCATAGTGATATATTCAGATGTGAAGTGTGGCAAATTTGTAAGACCCTTTTCTTGTTTTCAACTTTCCACTTTTTAATTTTTTTTTTAATCTGCTTTGAGGTTATGAAACGTTGAATTATTACGAGAATTTTAAAATATTGAGAAATAATTAACGGGGAAATTTCAAAATTGCCAAACAGATGATAAGAGGAGTGAAAGTGAGGCAACAAGGTGTGAAATCAGATAGCAAGAAAGCAGGAAAATCGCAGAAAAACCAGCATGGGACTAATGCAGCAACTACAGCTGGTACAGCTGCAAATAATGGCACGCCATCGTCACCAAAGCCAAAAGCTGAAAAAGGAGTAAATTAATAATATATAATATATAGTATTATGTACAATATATTATATAATATAATAGAATAAAAAAGACTCTTGAAGTCTGAACACGGTGCTCACATAATGTTACGGAGTTTGAGTATGCTCTGTGATGGAGGTTGTCCATTAAGGATTTGTATAACTGTATTCTGGTTTTTATTTCTTTTCGTATTTATTTGCAATTGTTATGTGAAAATGCTGTATGTGTTTGATATGGGTGTACATGTAACTTTATTATGGATATGTATGTGAGGTCCATTTATAACTTGGATTTTACACTCAAGTTCATAGGAAATCATGGTGGATATCAACTCAAGAAAATTTTCATGTTAAAAAGCTTCCTATTTCTTTGCGATCAAATATCATTGTTAAACATTTTGCTTAGTTATTCTGATTTTTAATTAGTTTTATTTGGTCGACTCCAAAATTATATAGGTCGTCTCGCGATATTACTAACATTAATTAATACTTAAGCTGTGTTCAGCGGCTGAGTTAAGTAAAAAAAAATTTAGCAACACAATTTTTAATACATTTATTTAAATTTTATTGAAAATTGTTAAAGTTACGAGAGTTATACTTTTTTTAATATAAATTTTAATAAAGAATTTGAAGTATATTGAAAAAAGGTATGTTGCTTGCACTTTTCTCATTTAAACTATCATTATTGCATTTTGGAAGGAAGATTTATTTTTCTTTGATGGGTAGGCAAATTTGGATTAGAGAACTTACTTTGTACAATTAATTTGTAAATTCTTTTTACGTAATAATGGAAGAGAAAAAGTGAGATAAATGATTAATGTAATAAAAAATAGTAAAAATATTTATTAAATAATATAATTCAGTAGATTATCAACAAAACTATAAGTGGAATTCACATACATCTAATATTAGGGTGGCGAAATTTCCGTAATAGAAAAGTCATAATCTCTTCCCCCCTAACATCATAGACTACTTGTATTTTCTTCTTACGTTCGTTCTTTGTGTTGTTTTTTTTTTATCATAATTTTTATTATACTTTATTTCTCTTCGTTTATTTTACATATCATTTTAAGTGTCGACACATTATTTTCGTAACATTCATCGTTGGATTCACGAAGAAAGCAAAAAATAATAATAAAGAGTGAAAGAGAGTGGAAACTTGTGAGTGTGACGTAGAGAAGTAGATGTGTTGACTTGTTATGGCTATGAGAAAGAAGGAGCCGTGTACGGATTCATCGGTGATACGTGAATCTGACATGCTCTTACTTTCACTAATGGAAAATGATGATCTAATGCTAGGAATGGACTCTTGCTATACATATTTCATCATCCAAGTTTTGTCCCTACTTTCAAATTATGGCCAATATTTCTTTATTTTTGGTTTTTATTTATAATTATAACACCTAAATTAAGAAAAATAATTAATTTTATATTACTATGTAAATTTTTAAAATATATTTTATGTATCTAACTTATTACTTTAGCATTTTATATACAGTTATTTTTTTCTGTTTTTATATGCATATAATTCATTATTATTAATAATAAATGTCATTTAAAAATTTTGAAATGACCAAAAAATAAAAATATTTTTTCTTTAAATTAACAGATGAAAAAATATTACTAAATTATATTGTGCACGTACTTGGATGAAATCATCGTCCCAATAGAATTCTTCATATATTAATCGAATTTTTTTTATTTTTAATTAACCAATAAAAATAAAGGGACGTTGATTTCATCGCTTTTCAGGCTCACATCACGAGTAAGCAAAGCCTTAAAATTAAAAATGAGAGAATTTGTTCCCTCATATTATTATTTTTTTACAGTATTTTTTATATTCATTCGACATAAAATTTTGCAGTAAATACTAAATAGCAAGTGTGTAATGGAGATGTGTATCAATCAATAACAAATATTAATATAATATAATTACTTTTCATCTATAAGTCTATCTTTTTATTTATACACACATAGAATCATCTAAATATCCAGAACAGTCATACCAGATACAAATAAGCATGTAATACAAATTCCTTTACATTAAAATAAGCTAAAATACATTATAACCAAAATATTCAATGTTATACAAATAACAACAATATAAATAGGCTTTATAAATTGACAACTTCTAATAGATAATTTGCAAAGCAAGTGCTGGCATTATCAATTTCTTGAGAGAATGTGTGTGGACTTTTTAATTTCTGAATTTTGAAATTATATAAAAATTATTAACTTATCAACTCAGAAAAATATAATAATCTAAGTGTTGGAAAGATTAATTACCTCAACTCATTAATCAACAATGATTGTCAAGACAATATTGAGCACATGTTTCATAAGGTAATATTCACACTTTGTGCTCCTAGATGGTTTTGACATTAAAAATGAACATAAAAAATAAATAGAATGAGTAAATTAAAGTTTTTACACTATGAAATCCTAATATTGTTAAAACAAATGCTTCAACAAGAAAATATAAATGATTGTATCTTAAGTTTTAAATTAGTACATGTAAAAAGATTCATATAAATTTCTTTTTAATTGTCAACTGTAACATAACATGCATTCATAGATATGATAAAAAAAAACATTATAAAGAAAAATAAATCAATCAAAGATTACATATTAATAAGGCTAACAAATCATATAGTAATAATGCAAATTACAAAAATATTTTACAAGTCAAAACTTATAAATCAATAAGACCTTTGGTTTATTTTATTGTGAGTACGAGAAGACAACATCATTTTACCTAGGACAAATAATTATCAATTGTCAATGGGCCTTACAAAATTTGGTAACAATTAGTCACAATTAAATATAATTTTAAATTAAAGGTAAAATTAATGTTTTTATTTTTTAATTTTAAAGTAAATTTTAATTTTTTCTCTAACTTTATTATAATTTATTTTAGTTTTCTATTTTTACAAAAACGTTTTAAATAAGTTTTTTTTTTAATTTTAACTATGTTAAAATATTTAATGGGCCTTATTGCTTTTTGCAAACCGTTCCTCTAAACGTTTAGCAAAAAGATCTTTAGCATTAGTGATTTCCAATCATACCCCTAAATGTTTTCAGAATATTGCATTTGATGATAATTACACTCATGTAATTTGAGTGACCCATTTCTTAGAATTCCTCCCTTTTTCAAAGAAACAAGTTGATCACTCCTCAATACATATCCAAATCTATTCAGCACAGCATAATCTAAATTTTTACATTCAATTCTTTGAAGTTAGTCTCATTTGATATATGAATAGAAATTAAATTGAAATATATAAAAGAAACGACAGCTAAAAGAAAATAATAAAAGTAATTAGCATACTCACAACATATTCCTTGACTTATGGTAATAAATCCAAATATTTAAAACCTGTTGCAAGATACTAATAACATCATTAATTTCGTGTCTTTAGATAGTAATATTATTTATAAAAGATGATTTTGCTGCAATAATTAAATATTGACAATAATTCATGCCAATAATAAAATAATATTTGGATTGAATTATTGTTTGCATGATATTATACACAAGCAAAACATCTATTATTTTTTATTGAAAGTTTTTACAAAATCAATCACTTTGTTAACATAGTGTTAATTAATTCACTAAAACATAAACTGTTTGATATTGATTTTTTACTGAGTATAATATGATAAAAAAAATTAAATTTTAATGACAATTATTATAACTTTTAGTGCTAATAAAAATAGTTCTTAAAAATTTTACCAGCAAAAAATTATTAGTCATTCTATTCAATGTCGATAAAAGTTTAGTAACAAAGATTTAAGCTATTGCTATTAAAAACTTTAACTTCTAGCTACCAATGATAATGACAATTTAAATGACTACTAAATTGATTTTTGAAATTTATTTTTCTATTCATTTAGTGCCTTCTTTAGTGTAGATAAAATTATAAAATTACTTTTATTAATAATTAATAACCTCTTAATATGATGCTTTTTAAAGTATTAATGGCCTGTGAGCAAGTAAAAAAAAAATAATAAAGAAATTTTTTTTATGATGACATGTTATAGTAGTATTTGACTTTACTTTTCTAGAGTTCTGATCCCCCTTTCAAAATTTACATTTTTATAATAACCAGCTATCAAATTTATATATGATATGTTCATAAATTCTATAACATCATCCATGATCTGCATAAAAAAAAATTTCATTAGTCATAACAACTCATTGTATATTTAATATTTAATTTTCTTTATTATAAAAAATTAAAAAAATCATAATTTCTTATACAATTGAAGGTACAAAAAAACTACATGTATGTTTTATAATAAATATATATTACATCATTAATTTATACACATTTACTAAAAATGTATGAAGTGATTAAATAAAATAAAAATATTTTATTATATTTATTGGAGGTTGAAAATTATTGATTATTTAATTAAGTTTAAGTTATGCAGACGTGGTATAAAGAGTTATATATTCAAACAAAGATTCGAACGAGTGAGGAGATAAGACAAAAAAAAATAAGAATATAAGGTATATTAAGAATCTACTCACTCAAATGTTCATTTCAATTCAATTTGATTACTTCTCCAAAATAATTCATATGAACTCTTTCCAACTAAATCCATAGATCAACGACAAAATCGTGAAAGGATGCACATGAGATATCATTTTTAATAAAATAGTTTCACAAATTGTTAATCACTAACCATCCTTTAAACGGTATAGTTGAATTAAAAAAAATTTCATACTCAAATTTCTTTAGAAAAATAAATTAATTTGTTTTAATGTTATTGCACAATTATTTTTTAATCTTTTTTAATGATAAATTATTGAAAAAAAGTTGTACTTTTGCTTTAGAAACGGTGCTTATCTTTGATAAAATGTAACTTATAGTTTATTAACTTGATTATAAATTTGTAGAATTATTTGATAACTACAAAAGTTTTTCATATATTAATTTTATTAGTCTTTTGTACTCTTTATTTTTATGGTAATCTTTTTTTTTTCATTTTTTATTATTAATAATTAATAG